GGAAAGAGTAAGAGAGAGAGAGAGAGATAAAGAGAAAGGAAGTCGCCAGGTCCAGGACTCAAACTGTGGTAGACCATGTGGCAGTCCAGTGCCCTTAACCACCATGCCACCTGCCAGTCCCAAATAAAAAGAATTCTTTAAAAAACAAAAAAAAGGGGGAGACCAGCAGTTGGCATAACGGCTATGTCGCTGGACTCCCATGTAGTCGAGCACAGTTTGAGTCCCAGACTTGGTGGCTTAAACTCATGCCAGGCGCATGTGCCTGTGTGCCTAGGATCCCAGGAGGAGAATGGAGGTTGCCCTCACTGCCATTCCCGAGGCTCTCTCCAGCCCTCTGCCCTCTAGAGCTCCCCATTAGCTCACCCCTTGAAATCCATTTGAGTCTAATGCACTTAGTACCCACCCTCCACGCTCCCCAGACCTGGAACCCACTTCCCCTGGGGTGCTCACCATCGTGGGGGGTAATGGCTAATTCCATAGCAAAGTGTCTGTCTTTCTGGGTGTGGACATGACCAGCTCACCTTTGCTGCTCTCCGACGGGAGCCTTCCCCACTCTCAGCCTCTTCATGCTCTTTGGCGCCCTGGGTAAGGTTGGTATAGCTGACGAGCTTGCCCAGCAGAGACGACACCTTTGGGCGGATGTCCAGTTCTTCCTGTAAACAGAGCCACGGGGCGAGATGGCAATGGGCCAGACTGGCGCCAGGCTACCTGAGTGGGGCGAACAGCCTGGCCGCTGGTCCCATGCCAAGCCCTGAGGCAGGCCTGGGCCTGAGCCCAGCTCTCGCCTGGGGAAGCCCAGACCAGCCCACTGGGCAGGTGTGGGCACCACACCCCAGCAAGCAGCACTCAAAGGCCAAGCCTAGCGGCTGCTTCTCTCTGCCCCTCAACTGAAATCACTGCCAGCCCATTTGTGAAAACCACCTGCCTCAGGGGAGAGAGGGCAGGGCATGGCTGGCAGCGAACAGCACGCTTCATCCTGCCTGTTCTGCCTGGCCACCTCCCAGCTATGGCTGGGACTCTGGGACTCACATCTACCCGCCACTCCCTGTAAGGAAAGTCACCCTAAACACCTCAGGCACCAGGGAAGACCAGAGAAACATTTGGGACATGTGAAATCTCTTTTGTCTGCCCAAACCTTTCCCATCCTGAAGGACCCTGTTCTTCCTCCAGTCCCTGGGAATAACCCATCCCAATTACCGACACTGGCCACCAACCCACCCAGGTGGGGCCAGGTCAAGGCCTTCACAGCAGAATGCTGCTGCCTTCTCAGGTCTGGAGGCCTCCCATAGCTCTAGCTCCCCAGACCCCACCGGGACCTAGGCTTTCCCAGTTCCTGCTTTCTCAGCACCACGCCTCCACCTGTGTCTTGTCCACAGTTAGCCTTTCCCTGTCTGACAGCTCCCTTCTGACCAATGCTCAGGGAGAAGTTGGTGTGGAGTGAGAGGTGACAACGTGCGCCCTTTGGGACAATGTAGAGACCAATGACCCTAAGTGATTCAGCCATGGGATGGCAAAATGTGTGGGTCGGACTTTAGAAGTCTTACATATTAAATCCAGATCTCATTTCTCAGCTTGAGTCCGACAAGGAAAAAATTCAAGTTCAGAGACACAGATTTAGGACTCTTTCCAGAGAGGTGTCCAGTGAGGCTACAGCTATGGAGAGAGGGGCCAGAGCCCATGGAAGGGCCAGGCCTCAGTGAAGTAGAGAGAGCTGAAAAGGCCAACCACAAAGGACAAGGAGAGTGCACAGGAGAAGGATGCACCGTGACCTTCAAGAAGTCCTAGGAGTGGAGGGAAGAGAGGCGCTCCGAGGTGGGAAGTCTTGAACAGCACATGCCAGTGTGGGCACCTGACTGAGGCTGCAAGGAATCCAAAGGAGAGCAGTACTGGGAAGGCAGTCGCGTGGCTTGTGCATGGCCTCTGCAAAAGCACTTTCAGTTGGAAGGGCCGGGGAACTGCAGCCTGGCTGCCATGGGGGAGGTGGACAAGGGGAAGAGCCCAGACAGCAGAAGCCCCTGCCCGCCCACCTGCCCATCATATCTGTGGCCCAAAATGGCCCCTCAGCTACCTCAAACAGCGCCAGGTTCCTGTCATAGTAGTCACTTCCTCTAGAAGCTTCCAAGGGGCAAAGGAAAGGGCTGCTCTCTCTGTGGTTACCATGTCCTGTGGAGAGAGAGAGGGACAGTTAGGGGCCGCTTCCTGAGCCATCCTCAGTCCCTTCCCAGAAAGCCAGGACCCGAACATCATGTCTCCGGAGCGGGCTGTGAAGGATGCAGGGCTACCGGGCTGGGACTCACAACCTGGGGGCCTGAGCGAAAGGCCTGAGGTAACTGAAGAGCAGCCAGTGACCAATTCGGGTGCATGGTTCTCTTCAGCAAAGTGCACTCAGGTGAGGAACATGTGCACGAGCATGAGCAGGTGTGAACACCAAGGGGTGGGGCCAGTCTACTCCCAGCCCCCCTCCCATTGAGGGCACACCTGGAGTACCCAACGTGCAGGGCATCCATCCAGGGCTCCATGTTCTCAGGGACCACCCAGGCGCTACCCGCCAGGTAGATGGGGCCACACAGAGCACCTTTGGTTGCCGTGACACACAGGTGTTCTGCTAGCTACTCTACCAGGCATCACGAGGAGGCATCCTGGATTGCAAGCATGGGGCATGCTGGGAGGCAGGGCAACCCCAAGAGATCCAGAAGCCTGAAGCCAGGAACCACTGGGGGTCACCTGTGAAAGTCAAGCTAGCTGGGTGTTGGGCAGAGAAGGGGAAATGGGAGTGGAGACCGTTGGCTGGGGCCACACGCTGACCAGGGCCACACATTGGCCTCCTTACTACCAGGTTCAGGCCACTTAACCCAGACCAGGGGCAAGGCAGACTCCAGTCTCCACCCACCCAGCCTCCCAGGCTGGTGAGACTATGCTTCAGCTCCAAGCAAACTCCTCAGAAAGAGGAGCCAGACACTCTTTTTTTTTCTTTTAAAAGAATTGTTTTATTTAACTTTACTTATTTTAAATTTTGACCAGAAAGGCCCAGAGTGAGAGAGAGAGAAAAAGTAAGAAAGCAAACCACCAGGTCCAGGACTCAAACCACAGTTGGCCATGTGGGAGTCCAGCACCTCAACCACCATGTCACCTGCTGGTCCCCTCCTTTTTTATTTTTTAAAGACATTATTTACTTATTTTTATTTATTATTATTTTGTAAAAATTATTTATTTGAGGACCAGCAGATGGCCTAATGGCTACGTCGCTGGACTCCCACATAGTCAACTGTGGTTTGAGTCCCAGACCCGTTGGCTTAAACTCACACTGGGCGTGTGTGCGTGCATGTCCAAGATCCTGAGAGGAGAATGGAGGAGAAGGGATTGCGGCATGGCCATCCCCCCTGGGGGGTGATTTCTTACTTTGTCTCTCTATCTCTCTCTGTCTTTCTGGTGAGTGCATGTGCCCTATAGCAAAATCCTCTCCTGGGGCTGGCAGGTGGTATGTAGGTTAAGGGTGCTGGACTCCACATGGCTGAAGATGCTTCAATTCCCAGACCTGGGGGGGTG